TGGGTGCAGGCAGAGTGAAGTATCAAAATCTCGCTAGATTTTCTTGTTTGGCGAACAATGTTTTGAGCACTGAAGATTGAACGACGATTCAAAAGTAGGCTAATATTGAAGTAATGCCTCCTTGGGGCACGTGCACGTAGCTCACTTACTTCTCACAGTTGTTCTTGAATTTGTTGTAGCTGCCATATGTAATCAGTCCGCCAAATCCGACACTTAAAGAGAAGAAGATCTGACCAGCGGCCGACACCCACACCTATGACAAGGATCATAAAATTTATCAGCAAAATGTAGCAGAAACAGATATCTTAAGAACAGGTATCTGGTTAAAATATAAAAAACCTGAAGACCACCATTACCAGCTCAAGTACCTATTTGGTCTCTTAAAATCAACCTGTTTTCGACGACAGGCAACACAAAAACTACCTCCTTTCTTAACCCAAAATATTAATTAGACGGACGCTTCAAGTGATTCTGTTTTTTAGGTTTCATCTATTATATTTTAGGAAAGATGAGAATTTTTTCAGTTCTTTGGCGTAATATGTTGGGCCAGATTTGTCAGTATGGAATATTGAATTGATTTTGAACTACAAAATTAAATAAGCAAAAGGCACCCACGTTGTCTTCAACAATACTAGCAATCAAATTTCATTTTAGAAATCTTGCCTAGCGTGTATGCGCATGGCTAACCCTGTAACTGACCAAAAAGCTTAGAATTGATATATCATTGTGGAAATTTATATCGTACTGGACAGACTACGTTTTAAGCGGACATTGAACAAGGTTTCACATTCACGAAAAGTTATTAGTCGTATTACCTGCGGATCGCTCAGTCTTGTCATGTTGGGTTTCAGATAGAATTCAACCCCTTTGCCTGCGCCTTCTAAGGTGGCCCCGCGAATGAGCAGAATAAACAAAACCACATATGGAAACGTGGCTGTCAAATAAACAACCTGGAGAAAAGGAAATAGAGAGGTGCTTAAGCTCTAATTGGTGGATAAACTGCAACTAATTCGGGTTTGCTTCTCTCTTGATTAGTTTAGAAATGTGGGCCTTCTATCTAACCAAGCAGAGCTTTTTCAAAGTGCTATTCGTTTTCCCATTTGTCTTGTAATGTATTTTGAATCTTCACTGGCCCTTAGAAGATTTTCCCTCCGCTTAGAATGAGGTGTAGCAATTTGATTCGGCAACACTCCTTAGCTTTTTATGATAGGAAAGAAGGCTCTACGACAAAGCCACTTTTTCAACAGAATTATAAGATTCAAACAGGCACCTTTCCAGCAGACTTTATTCCCTTCCAAACACAGAAGTAGACAACAATCCAGCCCAGTAGAAGACACATGGCGAGTTCAAACCTCACTTCGCCGGCAGCATGGATACCTTCACTTATTTGAAGGACTTTTATGCTTAAAGAGAAGTAGACACAAATTCGCAGTTTACAGAAAATATTAAAATATACCTTAGTGTATAATACCATAGCAAATACCTTTAGTGAGATAATTTGGATATATCAACAAAGTTTAAATGGTAAATTGGCCACCGTAACGATTACAAAAGCTGACGTTTCGAGCGTTAGCCCTTCGTCGGAGCGAAGGGCTAACGCTCCGACGAAGGGCTAACGCTCGAAACGTCAGCTTTTGTAATCGTTACGGTGGCCAATTTACCATTTCAACTTTGTTGATATATCCAAATTATTTCGTTACCCCCACCGACGCAGCTCCAAACAGTTTCTTTCGAAACTATCAGCCTTTATTCATTCACCTTTAGTGTGAGGTTGCTCCTGTATGAAAATTTCGCCTTCAACCCGGATCGACAAATTTAACAAGTTGTCTATCCTTTAAATCAGTTTTCAACGAACCCTGAGACATTTTTACCATATGCCAAAGACAAATATCGCAAGCTATGTATTAGAGAACACTCTTATTTCGTTTGTCAATTGTACGGCCATTAACTCTGTATCTTTAAGAGTGACCAGCATCTAATTTCTCCTAACAACATCCCTCCTGAATCACACATGAATGTCTCAAGAAAAAAGGAAATGATCACCAACTAAGGCCGAAACTCTTGCTTTTTACACAAGTTCTCCTTGTAAGCACGTCAAGAAATGCATAGAGAACAGTATGGCGAATATAAATATAGATGTGAGGATGTTTAAGGGTTAAGACTACCTTGCATCTGGCACCTGGCTGTAAAGTTGCCTTGCACTCCGACCAGAGTCATTTTGAACCACATTTGGATGAGTGTTAAGTAAGAAAACTACCCGATGCTTGGTGACTGAACATACGACAAACTTGGAAGCTTCGTCACTGGTTCAAACTGGTTCAGCAGATGGATACTTACTTGAAATATTCTTCTTCTGGGGAGACCCATCCACATTCTTCTTTCCCACAAGTGGCTGAGCGGTTTGTCCTTAATAAGATATTAAGTGTTGGAATTAATAATTTTATGCATATAACTACGACTATATTGTTATTGTGACAATCATTCCGTAAAATTCGTTGGAACTCCTAGAAATCAAAGGAATAAAATGGGTTGACGGGGACATAAATGCAAAAAGGGATTTCTCCGCCCCTTCTTTGATCTCGCCTACATTTTTACTTTTCTGATATAGGGAGAGAATATAGGATGGGGAGAAACTAAACCTGACGTAAGTAGGCTCACACATCGCTTCTCTGTTCGGTAGATTGATCGGATAGATATCATTTGTGTATTTATAAAGTAACATCATAGACTTGGTCCTTACGGTGTAGAGATTCGAGTCTACGTGCATGCAGCAAAAGTCCACATTTCACTTACTGACATGAAGGAGTGTTCCAGTTGTTTCCACAATTTTCCCACGGTAGTTGCTTTTGGAATGATGCAAACAGGTAGTAAAATGTCCACGCTAAAATAACATTGTAATACACACTGCACAGGAAGGTGATGATCACCATGCCAAGGCCAATACCTGTAAAAAAAAAATCACGCATATGTTAAAGGAGATATGTCATGATAGTTGATGTCGTTTTTTTGGGACGCGGCAAAGTTAGCCCTCACACAGAAGGATGATCACAATTTCCGAACCGTGTTGTGTTATTTTATGTACACGGATGGTTAGGGATTCACCAAACTTAGCCTATTCCTGGCTCTCCTTCAGAGCAGGCGAGCGACCGAACGAAAAATGGTGGTTGCGGTCGTCCATAAACCGTGAGCCTGACAGAGGCTGTACAAAGTTAGGATGATTGCACATGACGAAGTGAAATTATGAGGATGAAACAAAAGTAAGGTGTATTGTGTAACTTCTTTTAACAAAGACATCAAGCACTCCCTCCATAACGCTCGCAGCCAAAGCTTCATGTTCTGGGACGAACACGAGTTGATAAGGTCTCCATGCATTAGAAAAGCGTAACTATTGATAATTCTCTTGGTGAAATTTCCATATGTAATCATCCATTTACGAGACACCCTCATGATCAGGCTGTAATTGCTCAAGAAAAACAAGCTGTACAACTCTTACCTCCTAAGAAGGGAACGTACGCTGCCCAGGCACCGACTACGCCTTGTTGGGTAAACTGACCAAGGGCGACCTCCAAGTAGAAAATAGGAATTCCGCAGAATACCAGGAAAATCCCGTAAGGGATCAGGAAGGAAGCTAGAAAGGCCGAAAAAGAAACACTTATCAAGATAAAAGTTGTAGATATCAATACCATTTTCTTTTAAAACAGGTAGATTTTGGCCCCTCAAATTTTTATCAGTTAAAACCAATTTAAAAAAATACTAACAATTGATAAAACTCCGCAAAAAAAATTGAATCGCAGAAATTCAGGAGAGAAAACTGAAGTATAACCAACGTTCCACCATTCGCAACTGCCTAGAATGACTAGAACTATGTCATTGATATTCTTGAGCGTCCAATAACGACGGAGCCTGAGTCACCTGAGAGGATTCCCTTAAGGCTTTGGATTTTGAATTCTCCTAGGAAAGTTGACCATGACTCGGGTCTAAAAATCTGTCAACAAGTAGCGCAAATTTTCGCCATCTTCAAAGAACCCGATTTCCTGCCTCGGAGGCCTTCGAATTTTGGCAAAACAGACATCATGTTTTTTTTTAACCATTTAACTGTCATGATGTGCAAGCTATGTCTGGATAAAATTTCATCGGGAAAAACATATCCGTCCGCTCGTCTAGTGTGGCGTGCGATAGCAGGATTTTCCTCGTGCGTCTGACCCTGTTTCTTTTGAGGGAAATGAATTTGAGCGCTGGTTTTTTGCGTGGGAAATATGTTTAGGGACAAAAAGATTAAAGTGTCTGTGAGGGGCCTTGATCAAGAACAAAGGAGCTTTGTTGAATAATTTCGGTCCGACGAGCGATTGCATAACGCGATACCATTGGGACTCCTCTTTGTTAAATGAAATAAAATTAAAAGAGATTTCCTTACCACCTTACGCTAGATAACAGGAAATATTTCAAGTTAAGACTTGAAGCGTTCAGATAAGTTCTATCATTAAGCAGTCGATTACTCAAATATGCCAATACATGATGTTATGAATCTTATGCCGGTTGTGCAGTTGTAGGGACAACGATATTTGTAAGTAGAATAGTACCTAAATGTGGGTAAATAAGGGTGAAGTCTTTCTATGAAACTCGATATTCAACCTTCCTTAACGTTGTGCACCCGAGCAACAGATGTAAGTTCGCGTTCAATATAGGGGTGGCGCCAATACACAGTTGAAACGACCTAAAGAATTTTATGATCGCGGGTTACTTTATAGATTTTGTATCAGCATGTCTGATTTCATAACAATAATAAAAAAAAAGGTTTCAATGTTTCCGTTTAAGAAGGAACTAGTCGATCAATATCTAATTATACAGGACTTTGAACAGCCGATTAAGACGAAAAGATGCGAGTTTGAATAATTATTCAAATTAGGGTCATTCACCCGTGCTTGGGTTTTCCTGACAGTTCACTTAAACCTTGGGTTTCCTAAATCAGAATTCCAATTTGGTTTTATACGAAAAGATCGAATTTTCTGAACGGTTAGCAAGTGACAAAGCTCTGGGAGGTCAACCCCTTTTTCAGCTGGTGATCTATACGACGGTTTCCTCAACTGATAATTTACTCGCTCTCATCTACCGTCGACTGGGTCACGCAAAGTTCCCGCGCTTCAAAGGTCTGCGCTGTGTACCAGCGACTTCAGAAAGGCATATTGGAACACTTCCGATTACTAAGAAACCATTCGATTTGAAATAAAAGAAATACTTTGACTGTAAACTCAGTGTTTAGCGATGTACTAGCCATAAAAAGTTAACACAAAGGTTCAAAGTGCTTCGGCTTCTAATTATGCACAACTTGTTTGAACTTGTAAATAGCGTAGTACGTAGTACAACTCGACACAAAAAGTCATTTACCTCCACCGTTGTTGTAGCAAAGATAAGGAAAACGCCAAACGTTTCCCAGACCGACGGCGTATCCGATGCACGATAACAAAAAATCGAGCTTTCTACCCCAAGTCTCTCGTTCTTCTTCGAATTCAACTTCTGGCTCGCCATTACCACCGAAACTTGCCTTACTTTGCCTGATCTCGGAATCTGCCAAACCAGCGCGGCTGTCATACCCAACTGGATATAATTCGACTCCTTTGTTCGCCATGGCGTGCTGTTCAACGCTGAAACTCGCTGCTTATAGAACTGCTCCTACTAGGCGACTACTCCGCGTGCTCGATATGGCGGATCACTGAGTTTTGGTTCATAATTATTCTGACCACGAGACAAAGGATTGCATAGTAAACCATTATTAATCACATTCCGTTCATATCATTCCAAAATTTGCCGGTTTTCGTTATTCAACTGCAACTCGCGCTATGAAAGGCCTGTTTGTTGTCATTGCTTACGGAATTCGCGACTTTTGATCAGAATTGGAATATTTTCAGAATTTCTGTGTCGTTCTATGCAGATTTTACAATCTCTCGAAAGAGCAATTCTGAATGTTTTGACAACATTCGCAAACAAGGGTTGCTGCGTTAGACAACTTCTAAATTTCTAACTTATATGTGCGCAAAGCAGAGAAATGTGAATATTTATTACGAAGAGTAACTCCAAAACGGAGAGATCTGTTACAATCGCAAACGAAAGAAAATACCCATTCTCTCATGAACAAATGACGTAGCTTGCCGTTCAAAACAGGAAACTTCCAGATCATGATATGCTATTTAATTTCAGCTAAACCGGTTTACCCCTCTAAGACTGTTGACATTGGCTCCTTTCCGTAACGACGCCATAAAACAGCAGTGAAGTCGAGCAGGAAGGTGTTATCATGACAAAAAAAAAAAACGTTTTATTCTACTTGATCAACAGAGTTGTACAGGTTTATCCGGTCGCTTTCTTCAACTTGCGTGGGAAATCGGAAAAAAGGGCGCGAACAAGCGTGAATTGCTATTTTAAACAATATGATCTTTTGACACAAATCTCACAATTGAATCACTTTTCATTGTCATTCGTCCAAGATACCGTGAAGATGTTATCTAGACGCATTTTCTAAGAAGAAAAAAGGCATCATTCATGATTTCGCTACGGCGTCCACACGAATTCGCCCTGTTGTTGAACTCCTCGCAAAAAAATTATGAAAAACCAAAACAAAAGTCCGAAATAATCGTCATTTTATAGATGTAGTACAGTTCAGGTGATAATATTAAAAAAGAAAAACTGGTTACTGTTTCTTGATATACATCCCTCTATTAGAATAATTATCAAGTCAGCACATGTCAGGCACATGTATTTTTTGTTTATGATCCTGAGTGTATTTGTCAGCCATCAATTTTCACTGATGGGCCGGGGAGACCGAGTTTCTAAGGGGGGAGGAGGGTAGCGGAATATTGCTTCCATTGGGAGAGGGCTCCTAATGCATTCTCATAGCTCAATACCCTAAAAATCTCTTATTCCCCTCCCTTAAAGAATATTTAATCCAAAGCCGGCTGGTTGTTACTCAACCGGCTCTCGTAGGAAAGATATCAATCTTAGCTGAGAAGAGCGCACGAAACATCTGAAAGAAAGTTATCTTGAGGTAAACGTCGGCGTTTGGCAGTGCGCCACCTTTACCACATGTGGGAGGCAACTAGCGTGACCTGGCCAGCCATAACAACAGCTTCGCTATCTAAAAATATTTTGAAACTTGACACTTCTATCACTGATATTCTGTTCACTAATATTAACTGAACGCGCTTTCACACTTCCGTGTGGCATGGCAGTCACGGAAACGTCACACTTTTGTTATACTGTACTGTTGTGAATATTCCATTAAGAGGCAAGTTAAGATATATGTTTAACTCACATAGCAGCACTTCGTATTCTGGTAATCGGAACAAAACACTGAGGCAGAATCCAGCTAGGCTGAACAGTTCGGAAAACATTCCGCAAATGCTGAGAATAATTGTAAACAATTTCCGGTTCTTTTTAATAGATACCCGCCATTGTTTCTAGGGATCCTCTGCACTTGTTTACTGCATTAGGCGATCACGATAGGCATAAGTTTCGCATATCTTTGCGGCTCAAATAAATCCGATTAAGAATGATTAAGGGAACGTGTGGAAGTGAAAATCGAACAAATCATTCTCGGGTTTCCAAGCCTAACTCGACGTCCGTCTGTTAGGTTAAAGTGATTGTCTACCAACTTGTAAAATCTGGCAAGTTTCCGCGCTAGGAAAACATTTAGGGTCAAAGTACATTGCTTGCATTGAGCGCAAACACGCTGAATACGCTATAAACAACTCCTTTTCTCTGGAATGTTTTTTTTTCTTAAAAGGTTATGTTTGGGCGAGAAAAAGTTTGATAAATCGCCCTTGCGGCCGGCATACAACTAAGAAAAGAGTGGGATTCAATCGCAAGCACTCCCCTTCTCCCTGAGCACTTTCGCGCTCGAATTCGCTTTACCCTCTTCTACCCATTTCGGAGGCCAACCACACAGGCTTGGTTCATGCGTGAATAGTGAACGGTGAACATTGTTTTCCGGTGGCAATATTTGTCACCCTTGATGAGTTGTGGTGTGCGCACTATCGCTGCCGCGATAAAGTACAACGTCGAACACGTGGCAAAGAGACGCGGAATCAACGATGAAATATGCATGATTGTAACGAAAATCTTTTCACTGAACCTACTTATTTCCAAGTATTAAACTGTGAATGAAGTGATTTCTGCGTCATAATTCTAATTTGCGTGCCGATGGCGCCGCTTTCTTAGCAATCATTAGTTTGTTTATAAGACCGCTTCTTAGCATTATTATATGTATTTATATGGCTGCTTTCTAAGCAATCAACTAGTTTGTTTACATGACCTGTCCTTCACCATATTAAAGAATAAAAACTTTGTCAATCACAACGGATTGAAATAAAAGCATACCTCCACCACTTTTATAACAAAGGTAGGGAAACCGCCATACATTGCCAAGCCCTACAGCATAACCAATACAGGACAATATAAAATCCAGCTTTCTTGACCAAACCTCCCTGCTTCCTGAATCCTGTCCTTCTCCCGCACGACTGTCATCTTCCCGTTCCTCAGACCCAGTAAGCGGCGTTTCGCTTGAGATAGCTACATGATGCAGTTGTAAATCCGCTTTACTTTGCGATTCAGCCATTTTGTACAGTTCCCCTTCGTTAAGCGATTCGCTTGTTTCAGACGCAGTCTGGCTTTAGTACTTTTTATTGGGGTATGTTGGGAAGGCGGAGGTCAAAGCGACGACCAATGATTATTCATAGAAATGTAGTATAATGAAAGGAAAAATCCCAGACGCGCCAATGATCTCCATGGCTATCCAAAAGTATTAAAATAATCTATTTTTTTTGGTTGTGTGATTTTCTCGCATCATATTACGCGCTATTGAATGTGTGTGAGGGAACCCGTATACACTTGCGGCAGCCGGTAAGCGGAATTTCGCTTGAGATAGCAACATGATGCAGTTGTAGATCCGCTTTACTTTCCGGATCCGCCATTTTGGGCATTTTCTCTTCGTTAAGCGATTCGCTTGTTTCAGACGCAGTTTGTCTTTTGTTCTTTTCACTGGTGTATAACTAAAAGGAAAAAAATCTAGACCTGCCCACCTAAACCCATGGCTCTTCAAAAGTATTAACCCTTCAAACCGTAAGAGTGACCAGTCTCTGATTTCTCCTTTCATTGATACTGCTGAATCAACAACTTCTCCATGTCATTTTTTAAATTTACCTTTGCCTAATTATCTCAGGCAGGGAGACCACTACAGCTTTAGCCAACTACAGTGGGTGGATCCCGCGCTAACAATAACGAGGCCAGACCTGATGTTAGATCGTAAAGGGTTAATTGAAAAATTCTAATTTTTTGTCTGCATGATTTTCTTGTACCACATCACGCGCTACTGAACATGTGTGAGGTAACCCGTATACACGTGCCGACCGCAGCCGAGACGCCTAAAAAAAAAAAAAAGCATTTCGTTCTCAAATTAGCAAACTTCCTGTTTTTCAATCGACCTTTGTTCTTTGGTCTTGTCATACCACACGCACCCTCTCCCCCCATGCAGAAAATTCATTAGCGCAGACTCCGGAACAAAACAAATATTCAATGCATTTCAAAATCCCGGGGAGAACTATTTTGAAACTGTAAGCGGAAGCGAGTTTAAAATTTCAAAGTTGTATTGGTAAATAAGTTGTCATGTACTTAACTCGACGAAGGTAATAACCTGTCTCGTCACATACCCAACCGGATATATATTTTGTCACTTGCCGATGATAAAAGCACGAGAGCGCCAGGGAACAATATAGCGGAATTAATAAATTACTAATATTCTCTATGCTCTTCTTTATACATTTCCTTTGGTACTGACAATGAAAATTTCCTGTAACAATCAAGAGCTTCTTTAGTTGGTGATCGTTTGTTCTATTCTCATGGCCTTAATGTTTGCTTCAGGGTGACAGTGTAGGGAGAAATTAGATGCTGGTCCTCTTGGGGGTTTAAGGGTTAAACGAACTTGAACACCTTATTCGTGTCAATATACTCTGAATTGCACTAGTACTGAAAATCTTTATTTTAAAGCCCCTTTTTAACTTGGAAAGCTTCTTTTATTGGATGGGGGGGGGGGGAGGGCTTACTTCCTAGTAATAGGCTTATGGGGATGTACAGCTGGATGGGATCGCATTTCCACGATCACGACTGGATTGGCGGTAAGGAGGTTCCTTTTTCAATAGAGTTACTAGCATAGGGCCGTAGATGTTGGGGATCATTGTTAACAATTTCTGGTTTCTTTTAATTGATACCCGCCACGGTTTTTAGGGGTCCTCTGCAATTGTTTACTGCAATTGGCGATCACGATAAGCGTAACTCTCCGAATTTTTTTGAGACTCAAATACATAAGATTAAGAGTGATTTAGAGAACGTACGGACGTGAAAATCGGACAAATCATTCTTGTCTTTCCAAGCATAACTCGACATTCGGCTGTTAGGTGAAATAGATTGTCTACTAACTTGTAAATCTGGCAAATTTCTGTAATAGAAATTACAGAAGAGAAAATTACAGAAGAGGAAATTACAGAAGAAATTACAGGAGAGAGAAGTTTAGCACTCTTCAAGGGTTATTTTTCGGGGAGACTGCAGAGAGTCAAGATTGGGGACCCTTTCCAGTTGGAAAGACGTTAAAAGAGGAGTTCCGCAAGGAAGTGTTTTGGGGCCTGTGTTTTTTAATATATTTTTTAATATGTTCATCAACGACTTGTTTTACTCGGTTACGCAAGGTAAATTTTACGCATATGCGGTCGATCATCAGTTATACTCTTCTGATGTCGACCCAGAAGCTCTAGAGAACTGTTTTTGTCGGGAAGTGAGAGTTGCAAATAAGTGGTATCGCAGCAATGGAATGATTGTAAATGAGACAAAACACCAGGCTATAGTCTTGGGAAAAACGGGCCACTTCTCTTGTCCATTAAAAGATTCTTTGGATATATTTGGAAAAAACATATTGACAATAGGTTGCGTTTTGATAATTATATATCAACTATTTGTGAGAAGATAAATGGCCAGTTCAATGTAATGCTAAGATTTCGTAAACTTATCTCTAAAGATACTCTACTAAGATTGTATAAGCCTTTATTATGCCACATTTTAACTATTGTTCGTCTGTATGGCACTTTTGTGGTGCGCGTAGTATTGAGAAGATAGATACTTTAAACAAGCGAATTCTTAGAGTTATCTTGCAGGATTATAATTCTCCCTATGACTTTCTACTTAGCAAAGTTAACTCCAAATCTCTGTATGAAAGACGCCTTCAGACTTTCTTAATTATATTGTACAAGAGCTTGTTTTTTAACTGCTATCCAGGCTATCTAAGGAATATCTTTAGTTTCCGGTCTGTATCCAATAATCTACGCGGAAATTATATTTTGTCTCTACCGTCTACAAAAGCTACTACTTATGGTCTTCACTCCTTTTCATATATGGCTTCAAAACTATAGAACTCTCTTCCGGACTCTCTTAAC